AGAGAGAGAGAGAGAGAGAGATTAAAATTTTGTGAGATTTTATTTTAAAATCTGGCATTCTAGTTTATTCTGAAAAGGTTATGTGATTGATATCAATTACATCAAACCCTGGAATTGATATAACAGAATTATCTTCATTTCTATAAACATCACTGCTTATAAAATTTATGATAGCATCTTTCATTTCTCCATTCAGAATAGCTCTGACAAGTACAGTCATTTCTTATGTATTATCTTCTGTAGCTGCTAATTCAACATTAAGATTTTTTTTACAGGAAAACATAAGCTACCCATATCTCCTAACATAGATAATTTAAATGTTTTGTGGATACAGTACCATCATGAAGTAACTTTCTTTCTTGTGATTTGTTTGTTGAGGTTATTTCTTTTGTTTTTCTGTATGTCCTTTAACTCTTTAAGACAAATTATCTCTTTTCCTGTCTAGAGCCATTTTTCTTTTCATATTTCAAGAACAATTGCCTGCTTACATTAATGTATCTTTTACACACTCTAAAGAGTTAGAGAAGAGAATTAGATATTTACATGTAGGCTCTAATATTGTTAGAAAGTAAAAATAACAGAAGCATTTTAGCTTTGCTGCCAAAGACAATACACTACGAGGCTGGGTATTGCTATTGAGTCCATGTTATTAGGTAGCATTTAAAATTATCCCTTTTCCCCTTTTCAGGACATCGAATCCCTAACAGGAGGGCTGACTGGTTCTAAGGGGGCTGATCCACCGGTAAGTTAGACCCTCATTAGATGTAAGAATTGCATCTAACAGAGTGTTGCTATATACTGCATATCATGTATTGAGGCTTATTGTAAAACCATTACTGCAGTAATAAGAAGTGTAAAGTTGATTTTAGGGGTGTTCAGATGGCTTGAAATGATAACTTCTCAAATAATTAATCTATGTTCAAACTGGTGGCACAGAAATAAAGAATTAGGGTTGTGGCTCACTGGTGAACACTTGACCAGCATACACAACACCCTAGATTCAATTCCCAGTACAAAAGAGGAAAAATAGTAAATATCTTGTGATAATTCATGAATAATATCTGTTCTGATAATAGGCTGTGCTAACTTGAGAATTTATAATTCTGAAATTGAGTATTGGATTTGAGTTTCACAGTATTTTGATTTTACACAGAAAAACTACAGCCATGCTTTGTATTGATTCTTGGTATTGTTGTTTCTTCCCTACTCAACCTGGAAGTCTTTTAGACAAATAAGGAATGAGTTCCCAAGTTATATTTTTATATTTTTCCATTTTAATACATGTATGCGTGGTGTGTATATGTGCATGCATATTTGCATGTATGTGGGTACATGTTACGGGGCACGTACACACAGGTGCATGTGTATGTAGAGGCCCACAGTGAATTTTAGGAACAACCCTCCATTGTTCATCAACCTTTCCCATGAGGTAGGGTCTCTCGCGAATAGCTGGAAGTCAATTCTACAGCCTTTCATTCTTACTAGCTAGCTTGCTCTGGTGATCCCCTGTGTCCATCTTCTAAATATAGAATTACAGGCAGGCATCATGCCTACCAAGCATTTTCATAGGTTCTGGGGACCCAAACAGCATTCCTGATGCTTGAGAAGCAAGTGCCTAACCACTGAACAATTTCCCCAGCCCTCGAGGGTAAATTTTAAATGGTAAGAGGAGCTTGATATATTGGAATATCATAGTTTTTACTGAGCCACTGATTTCAACAGACATTAATTAAGACAATTTCCCTGTGACTTCAGGCTTGAGAAACAAAATTCAGAATATATAAATTAAATAATAAGTCATATCCTGTTTGTGTTAGTAAATGGTCAATGGATGAATTTTTATCACTGTTTGCTTTATCTGTGTATGGTGAAATTTAATGAGGATCATACAAATGCTGGCTAATTTTATGTCAACTTTATATAAGCTAGAGTCATTTGAAAGGAGGGAAACTCAGTTGAGAAAATGCCTCCCTAAGGTTGGACTCTAGGGTGTTTTCTTATTTAGTGATTGATGGGGAGGGCACAGCAGTTGTGAGGAGTACCATCCCTGGGCTCATGGTCCTGGATTCTATAAGAAAGCAGGACGAGCAAGCTACAAGCAGCAAGCCAGTAAACAACACCCCTCCATGGCCTCTGCATTGGCTCCTGCATTTAGATTCCAGCTCTTCTTGAGTTTCTGTGCCAACTTCTGTCAGTGATGGGCTTCAATGTGGAAGTGTAAGCCAAGTAAATCCCTCCCCTCCCCATCTTGCTTTTGGTCATGGTGTCATCATAGCCATGCCCTAACATAAATAACATATGACTCAGGTTTATGAGATTTAGTTCCTTTAAAGCATCAGTGAATGTTAAAGTGATAATGTTGATTGCAGCTCTTTCCTGTCTAACACTCACATGCCTTGTGATATGCTATCATCCTTGCTATCTGACTTCTAATAAGAGCTCAGCAGCATTTACCATTTCCTTCCTGTGGTCATCGTCTACATTCATACAGGAAACATGTTTTGGACTCAGATAGCTACTTGCACAATCCAAGAACTTCCACCACTATAATGTATGGAAAGATGAAATATAAGTGAACTTAGAAAGTCAATTGACATGATTGACAGATGGTGTTATACTTAAATGTTATAGGTAACTGTTCAGGTGACATGTTTCACCTTCTGCTTTATACGGTGCATAGACATAGTAACAGATATGTCAGAATAAATTTATCTCCTTCAAGGTACCACCTTCACCTGCTCTCTAATTCCTACGAGAAATACATAAGTGGTGATTAAATGATTTGAAAGGGATTTGTTCCTCATTCATAACAAAACTAGATTCCTTTCTTCTGCAAGTAGTGACAAAACTCTGATCTAATACTTACATGTTAAAATGAATTACTTCATCATGTCATTTAAAAAAGCATGCTCTCCAATATGAAATTTTGAGAATTTTTGAGTGGGTAAATAGTCTAACGATTAAAAGAAACCATTTTCAGTGGGAAAGGGTCATGGGAGAAAATGTGTTCTAAAGGCATCTTTTACAGATTCCTTACCATCAAAAAGGAAGAAGCATTGGGTATAAAATTTTGGATACTGGGTAGAAAAAAAAAAATGTGTGTTTTCCATTTTCAACTTTTTAAATCAGTTTTCCTTTAAGCATAATTTTTTAAATATATTGGTTGTTTATCCCACATAATTTACAAGGATAACGAGTATTTTACAGTTATGCTTATCTACTTTGACCTTATTTGAATACGTTTTTGTAACTATGTCAAATGAATTGTTAGGGTCTTTAAAGGTACAGGCGATCTAGATGTTCTTTAGCAGGCAGTAATCTACTGTGTCATGTTATTGAAGAGCTACAAGAAGCATGTTGTCATAAACTTTATAATTGGGCATTGTGTTCTGCTCCCTCTAAATTATATATAAAGGAGTCTAAGGATGGAGCTGAAAGAGACATAGTAGGTAGGATTACTTCATCATTTAAAAATAGCATTTTAGTCTAACGGTAGAGTTCTTGCTTAATATGACTGAGGCTCAAAATTTCATCCCCAGAACTGTAGATTCACAATTAAAAAATAAGTTAGAAAGCCAGAAGTTGGATTAAATTATACCTATTTCAAGTTCATCTGGTTTTAATTTTTTAATTATTTTTATTTTGAGATTTTTTTAATTAAGAACATTTTTATTCATTTTGCCTATCACAGATCCCCCTCTCATCCCTCCTCCTATCCCCCCCAAGCCTTCTCCCCCATCCCACCCCTCATCCCCTCCTCCAAAAAGCTAAGGCCTCCCTCCGGTGGGGAGTCAGCAAAGCCTGGTACATTTAGTTGAGGCAGGTCCAAAACTCTCCCCTTGCATCAAGGATGTACAAGGTGTCCCACCACAAGTAACAGGTTCCAAAAAGCGAGTTCATGCACCAGGGACAGATCCTATTCCCACTGCCAGGGGCCCCTTAAACAGACCAAGCTACACAACTGTCTCGCCCATGCAGAGGGCCTAGTTCGGTCCCATGGAGGCTCCACAGCTGTTGGTCTAAAGTTCGTAAGTTCCCACTAGCTTGGTTTGGTTTTATCTGTAGGTTTCCCCATCATGATCTTGATGCCCTGTGCTCATAGAATCCCTCTTCCCTCTCTTTGATTGGACTCCTGGAGCTCTGCCTTGTGCTTAGCTGTTGATCTCTGCATCTGCTTCCATCAGTTACTGAATGAAGGCTCTATGATGACAGTTAAGGGTATCATGGAGATAGGGAGAAACATGGACCTAGGGAATTTCCCAGGAATCCACTAGGATGACCCCAGCTTAGACTACCAGCAATAGTGGAGAGGGTGCCTGAACTGGCCTACCCCGGTAATCAGATTGTTGGTTTTATTTTTTAATTTAAAATATGGCATAATAGATAATCTAATACTAATTTCCACTTCAAAATTTGTCTTTGGTACATGTATTCATAATATATTTATAAAACCATTCTATCAATTTTGCCAATGAAATTTTCATTGGTAAGAATTTCAAAGTCACTTAAAAAGTAAAATTCAATGAAACAGGATCTGTAAATTACTGGATGAATGGTTTCATATGAAGATGTAAAACTGGGGCTATTTATTTTTTAGTGTAACATGACACTGAGAAATTTTTAAATACAAATGGAATATTAAAATTGAAAACTTTGCTTTAGGTGCACATAAGAATTAATTTTGAAGATTAAAGTTGTGAAACTTGTTTTATTTCAAAGATTAGGATCTGTTTAATTAGTGCACCCAATGATATTATTAATAAATGGCAAGTCAGGTAAGATTAAATTCGCAGGATGCTAGGAACATTTGGTATTAGTTATTTTAATAAAAAATATTAAGTATAATTTTTGAAAATTCAAATAGTCTCTGTTTCATCACTAAAGAGAAAACCATTCACTATTTTTTTTAGATGTAATTGAAGAAGACTTTAGAATGTCTTTATTTTTCAAAAAGTATTTTTAAGAAGGATAAATTTTTTTATTAATTAAATTTTTCATTAATTTACATCCCGACCACAGCCTCCCCCTCCCCCTCTCATGTCCTCTCTCCCTCCCCTCTGCCACCCCTCAATGAACCCACCCTCCACCTCTGTTCAGAAAGGGGCAGGCCTCCCATGGGTGTCAACAAAGCATGGCATATCAAGCTGAGGTAGGACTGAGCTCCTCTCCTCGTATTAAGGCTGGGCAAGTACTCAAAAGCCAGACAAAGCGTTAGGGACAGACCCAATTCCCACTCCCAGGAGTCTCACAAGTAGACCAAGCCAGAGGACTGTCACACACATGCAAGAGGACCTCGGCTGGTCCCGAGCAGGCTCCCCAGCTGTGGTCCACAGTCCATAGTCTGTGAGCTCCCATGAGAAGACCAGTTGCTTCTGTGGGTTCCCTTGTGATGACCCTGACATGTCCCAAACTGCCCAATCTCCCCACCCTCCCACATCCTCTCCCAACCCCCCACCATGCCTCAGGCTAGCACAATCCTTCTTCCTTCTCCTCCTCAGGATTTCCTGGCCCAGTACTTGGCTGGGGATCTCTACATTTGTCTTCATCAGTTACTGGATTAAGACTCTCTGACAACAATTGGGGTAGTTACAAATCTGATTAAAGGAGATGGCCAGTTCAGGCTACCTCTCTACTCTTGGTAAAAGTCTTAGCCAGGGTCCACCTTGTAGAATGATGGGTGTTTCCTTTGCATAGAGTTTCTACCTGATCTCAAAATAACCCCCATTTCTGATTATCTCTTTC